ATTTCATTCTTCTTTATAGCGGAGTAATACTCCATTGTATAAATGTACCACAGTTTCTTAATCCAGTCGTCTACCGATGGGCATTTCGATTGTTTCAAAGTCTTGGCTATTGTAAATAGCGCTGCAATGAACATAGGGGTGCATATATTTTTTCGAATTAGTGTCTTGCGTTTCTCTGGATAGATACCTAAGAGTGGAATTGCTGGGTCATAAGGCAGTTCCATTTTCAGTTTTTTCAAATACCTCTATACTGATTTCCATAGTGGCTGCACCAGTCTGCATCCCCACCAACAGTGTATTGTACCAGGATTCCCTTTTCTCCACAACCTCTCCAGCACTTGTTGTTTATTGATTTATTGATGATAGCCATTCTGACAGGAGTGAGGTGGTATCTCATTGTGGCTTTTATTTGCATTTCTCTAATGATTAATGAGGTTGTACATTTTTTTATATGCCTGTTGGCCATCTGTATGGCCTCTTTAGAGAAATGTCTTCATATTGGTGGGGGCTCATTTTAACAAAGCTGGATGCAATTGAGTAATAAACTGGATTCTTTTTAAAGTAGCTTAAAACTTTTCTGCTAATACATTTTTGGTTTTCATTTTTTATGACATACAATTCTGTAGAGAATAGTTCTTTATATAACATTTCAATATTTTGCAAGCTAAATTTTGTTTTAAATCATGTGGTCAATCACTGAAATATTTATAGTTCTAATTCTCTAATAATTATTTATGCTAAATAAATTATTACAACAAAAGAACTTAGATTTCTAATTAATGCATAGAAATAAAAAAATGATTTATTTTGTTTATGTTTTTGTTTTTTTCAAATAGTTATTTGGGATTTGATCACGCTGCAACATTATTTCACATCCGAGACAGTCCTGCCGACCCTGTGGAAAGGCCAATTTATCTTACTAATACTTTCAGTTTTGCGATCCTCATTCATGATGTATTGCTACCAGAAGAAGCTAAAACAATGTTTAAAGTATGTATGGGACCCTTATACTTTTAACTTTACTGATCTTCCAACTAGATGATGCTGACATGTTTTTTTCTCTCCCATCATTCCCTAGGTTCACAACTTCAGCAAACCAGTCTTAATTCTTCCAAATGAATCAGGATATATTTTTACCCTGTTTTTTATACCGTCCACATCATCCATGCATGTAGATAACAACATCTTACTTATTACCAATGCCTCTAAATTTCATTTGCCTGTGCGAGTATATACAGGCTTTTTAGATGTAAGTATGTTATCTACCTTTAGAATATAAACCCACTACCCATCTTCTGTGTTTTCAGATATCAGTAGGCAGTCATCATCAGTAGGCACCCTTGCATTTTACCATTTTCTGTGCTTTACAAGTAGGCCTCATTCCTTCCTACTCAGTACTTTCCATATAACTGGTTCTCACCCTTCCCAGCAGCCATCTCCCCTTGCACTACACTTGAATCCTCTAGTTACAGTCTCCACTTAAATCCTCTTCACATTCTGCTTTCTCTTGATTTTGCTGTTAATCTGTTATAATCATGGGGAAGCTAAAAATGAACAACATGGGGAAAAAACGAATGAGCAGGAAAAAAACAATACAAGGAGGTTGAAGAGGGAATTATGTAGGAAATAGATTTCCAAAACCAGGAAGTAGCAGGGTGAAGAAAAGGAAGGTGGTAAAAATACCCAAGTGGAATGGTAGTCTAACCACGGCACAGAAGGGAAGAATAAAGGTCTTTCTAGTACAAAAAATAAGCCAGGAAAAAAATCTAAAGTGTTCTTAGAGTAGTCAGTGAAGGAAATTTAGATAAGAAGTGAAACTGATATGCAAGATAAAAAGAAAATGCAAACATAGAAATGTGGTTCTCCAAAAAGAATTTGGGGGCTGGAGGGGCCTTCAATAGTACCCTGCTCCTTCATTTATTTTGCTTAAATGATTATGTATTTGTAGCTGTTTTCGAGAATGCATGATGTATACTAAGACCAAGGACTTTTTGCCTAATCCTCTAGGGCTTCCTCCACTTACCTTCCTAGTACTTCAGCTTCTTGCTTCTTTATGTGCCTTCAGAGGACACAGCTGTTCAGCAGAGACCACGAGAGTTTTCATTTTGATTACTGAAAATATTTTCATTGTACAAAGTTCTTAGTTATATTTTATATGTGTGTATGTATGCATATTTAAATAAAATATAGAAACTTTAGTCTATCTTAACAGTCACTTTCTCTTGATAACATTCTCTTATATAGTGTGATTTTTATATTTAATCTAGTTCTTTTATATCTTTCCAGTACTTTGTATTACCTCCCAAAATAGAGGAGCGTTTCATAGATTTTGGTGTACTGAGTGCTACAGAAGCAAGTAATATTTTATTTGCAATTATAAACAGCAATCCAATTGAGGTAAAAAAAAAAGTTTTTATTCTAAATCACATTTAAGGATTTTATGCTATGCTGCATTGATCACTCATATCTTTCTCTTTTTTAAGTTGATGATAAAAAGTTGGCACATCATAGGAGATGGTTTATCAATAGAACTCGTAGCTACTGAAAGAGGCAATAGAACCACAATAATTTCAAGCCTTCCAGAGTTAGAAAAATCCTCTTTACCAGACCACTCATCAGTAAGTAAACTTTTTTATTGTTTCCTTAAACTTCAGATGTACATCTAAAGCACAAATAAGACTGTTCCAGTCTTGCGTGTTTCTGGTCATATTTTTACAGGAATCACAGTAGCATCAGGTATTTGGTACTGAAAGGACCTTGTAGGTCATGTACTTGAACCCCTCTCCTTATGATGAGGGCACTTGAAATGCAAAAGAGTTATGTTCTACCCTGTCATCAAAAGTTCTGTAACAAGCAAAATTTAAGTTGTCTTTTGTAACACAAGTGTCGTGACAGGAGAAATTCCCATAGGTCCCAGAACTTGCTGGGCAGAAGCGCTAGGCCTGCAAATGGTAGAAAGTATGTGCAGTTCTGCAGTAATGCTTCCTGGCAGCTCTCTGCACTGGTGTGGAGTCTCAGTGAGGCGAGCATTGTCTTATCCTGCCCGGGTACTTTTTTTCTCTTACAAATGCACAGCTAATTGTACAAGAGCCCAAAAACGAGAAAAAGTTGAGTCTAGTCTCAGCAGTGCTGAGGAGGGAGCTCAGAGTTTGCGCCTGCCCAGGACAGACTCAGAGCCCGGAGGGAGAGGTGGGGGGCG